TTGCAAGACTGCCTCAACTCCCCTCGAGCCTCAGAGTCGTCTTACACCTCTTGATGGCACTCTTCTCTCTGATGCTACCCTATATCGTCAGCTGGTTGGCAGTCTTGTCTATTTCACTATTACTCGTCCTGATATTGCCTATGCCGTTCATATTGTCAGCCAGTTTATGTCGGCTCCTCGTACCCCTCATTATGCTGCCTTAATTCGTATCCTTCGGTATCTCAAAGGCACCATGTTTCATGGTCTTCATTATTCCGCCCGCTCCTCTCTCCAGCTTCGTGCTTTTTCCGATGCTAATTGGGCTGGAGATCTTACTGACCGCCGCTCTATTACTGGGTTCTATTTTTTTGGGTGATTCTCTTATTTCTTGGTGCAGCAAGAAACAATCTCTTACTGCTCGTTCCAGTACCGAGGCCGAATACCGTGCTCTTGCTTATACTACTCAGGAGCTTCTCTGGCTTCATTGGCTTCTTGCTGACCTGGGTGTTACCCCCTCTGGTGTTACTGATCTCTTTTGTGACAATCACAGTGCTCTTCAAATTGCTCGCAATGATATTTTTCATGATCGCACCAAGCACATTGAGATTGACTGTCATTTTATTCGTTAGCACGTTACTCGTGGTACTGTCCATCTCCATCCGATCTCTTCTGTTGATCAACCTGCTGATATCTTCACCAAAGCTCATTCTCCTGGCCGCTTCGTTGAACTTGTCTCCAAACTCCAGTTGGTTGATGTTTTTCTTCCTTGAGTTTGAGGGGGGCTGTTAATGTATAATGTGCATGTAATGTATAATGTATATAGTATAATATATTATAGGATAGAGCATAGAAAGCATAGGATTCTTTTCTTTCTGTTGTAAAGGCCAAACACCACTCACACACTTTCATTATTACATATAGCTTTTGTCTTCTCCTTTCGATGCTTCCTCTATAAATGAGCATCACTCTTGTAACCAATTCATAGTGAATACAACATTCATTCAGCTATCTCACATATCTCACAAGAGCAAAAAACATAGAGTTGAAATCCAATGGACACTTGTTTGTCAGATGCTATCTCTCTGTAGGAAACAACAACAGGGTTCGACTAGACAATCAAGAAATCTCATCAAAATCCAACTTGTTTTGGAACGAATCGCTCTCGTTAGAATGTTTGGGTACCCAAGACTCCATGGAGATGCTGATGCAAGGAAGTGTTGTTTTTGAACTTCAGTGGAGAAGCATTGCACCCTTTATTAGGAAAATTGGAGGATCACATCTCTTGGGTAGAGCTAAGATTCCATGGAAAACTATCTCCGAGGCTCCGAAGATGGAAATTGAGAAATGGGCCGTTGTGGTTCCAAAAAGTAGACGCGTATATGAAGATAACAAGCCACATGTAGTGCAAGTAGCAATGAAGATTAGAGTTCCGACAGTAAAAGAGGTGTTGTCGGTGCCGGTGCCAGTGCCAGTGATGCCGAGGAGGAAGAGGAGAAATAATCGAAGGGTGACAAACTCTGAAGAGTGTGAATGCATGGACGTTGGGTGCAATTGTGCGGATTATGATATCTTTGCACTAATTACAGCTTTGGATGCCTTTTAGGTTGGCAAAGCTCTTAGAACCTCTAGGGTTGGTGCCAATATATATATATATTTCTAATAATTTTTTTTCCTTTATTGATAAATTTTTGAATTGAGACAACTGAATACATGGTGCGTGACACACTAGGAGACACACTAGGACTCTTTAGAAATGCTCGAATACTTGAATTGAATTACAATTTTATAGTGTAAGTGGTCTAACTATTTAATGTGAATTGACAGTGTATAATCAAATCTAAATTGACAAATTTTTTGTATTGTAAGTGTTCTGTCTATTTCATCTAAATTGATAGTATGTGTGTGTGTGTGGATGTGTGGATGTTTGATCGAAATTGGCCAAAGTGTTACAGCGATCAAATTTAGATATCATCTCATCAAAATAAAACCAGAAATAACATTTCCACAAGCATAATAGTTTTTTTCTTTTTTCTGCAATTTTTTCTTCTTCTTACTGCTAGAAATCAGGGTTTTAGTAAACGCCGCTATAGGTCTAAAAAACGCCTTCAAATCCTTTTGTGGCGTTTAGCACCAAACGCCGAAGATGCGGCCGTCGCTATAACTTTATGGCGCTTTAGAAACGTCACTATATTACTATAGGCGGCGTCACCGCAAAATGTCCTACTCACACCACCATGATGTCATTAGTGACGTAGGCACACCTGTAGACCTTTACATGGCGTTTTTATAAACGCCGTTAATTCTGCTAATTCAAACCATTATCCCCCAATTCATATTCAAACCCAACAGTGTTATCTCCCAATTCAAAATACCCAACGGTAAGATATGACGTCATGCTGACATTTTTAGTGGCATTTAAAAACGCCGTGGAAGATTTTTTATTTTTTTTAAATTTGAAATTGTGGTAAATTATTTCTTTGCTTGTTTAAATTTAAACTGTGACAATTAGAATAAAAGTAAACCAAATCTACTCCATATAAATAACAAACAAACAAGAGCACCACCGATTCTCATTCAACTTGAATAATAATAAAGATCAAATGAGAAGGAAAAAAAAACAAAAATAACTAGTATTAGAACCACATGACCTGTTCCGCATCAGATTAAAAACTAGTTATGAATTAGTGGTTTGTTGCATAAACCAAACATGCATCAACTAGTTGTGATTGTAAAAATTCATGAATATACAATCATCAAAAAGAAAACAAAAAGAATTTGTTGCTTGAACCCCAAGCTCCACGAACCCTTGTACCTTTGTCACGAGTTATCGTACTCCTAGTAAGAAACAATAAGAGAGAAATATCAGATAAGCTGGTTATGTTCATTTAAGCAATCAAATGCACAACTAAGCAGAATACTCAAAATACATTATAGAAATATTGCAAGACTGTTTGTAAGAGAGAAATATCAGATAAGCTGGTTATGTCCATTTCGTAAATCGATTCGAATTAATGCTTGTAAGAACCTCAAATCCTTGCCAGATGCCATTCATAGCAACAACAATAATGAATTCAAAAATCTCAGCCTAGTGGACATAAGAGGTTGTGAAAACATGGAGTCCCTTCCAGAAGGTTGGTTCCGATTCGCCACATCGAATCTGAGACTTGCTTATCTACGACTGCAAAAAGCTCGAGGCCCTACCATATAACCTCAGTTCTCTTCAAGTGCTGAAAGTATGGAAATCCCCTACAGGAGTTGTCTCCAATTGGAGTTCTCTAACGAACCTCAGTTCACTTAACATCAACACAATCATGATCAGTAAGCCCCCATCAGAGTGGGGTTTGCACAGATTACCCTCTCTTAGAAACCTCATTCTTAATGGCTCAACAGATTGCCCACCCCTTTGACTGTAACCTCTCTGTCAACATTTTCGAAACATCATCTTGATACAATCTTATACAAAGAATTGTTTCCAAGTCTCAATACAACTTCTCATTACTTAATACCTCCCTCAACTTGCTCAATGAAATAATAACAATTGCAATCTATTCAATAAAATTGAGGAAGATTATGTTTATACCCTGTTTTGCAGAGCTGTCAATCTGTCAACATACTAAGAACTAGTAAACCAACACCAATCAGATAACTCCTTCATTTTTTTTAACCAATCAATACTAAATAGGTACTAGGATTGAGTAGTCCTACAATAACATCGAAGAAACCCCCCCCCAAAAAAAAAACTTAATGTATGACAAAAAATTTTCCACATACAATGCTTATCTAATTCAATTCCTACTGCCAAAGCCATCTTCTTTTGATCCTTGGCTGTCTATAAAAATCTGCAATCTATGGGATGACTCTTCCCTTTGTACAATATGTAAACAGCCAAAACGGTAAGCCCACTCTTCAAGGCTCATCACTCATGTACATATAAGGGGAATAGGAGTAAATTGAATCTGTATCCTGAAACAGAGAGCTTAATCAATACGTTGGATCATAGATCTGATTTATGTCAACATACAGTAGTCATTTGCTGACCACTGTGGTAATGCCTGTTGGAATGGAACTAAACAGAGGAATAACCGGGTTGACAGCTGGTTAAACAATAACCCACAGTTTAGTGGCAGAAGAGATCTCAAATTTGTATGAAAGGGACCGAAGAGATGACTTGGACTCTAGAGGGGCTCCCACTTATTTTTGTTTATGAAAACATTGAAAATAAAAATTACACCAATTAGGCCCTTAATAATTAGAATCTAAAAATGGGAATATTGAAATCAACAGAGGTTCTGGCTATAAATATGGAAAATGTAAAGCAAGGGATCAAATATGGGGCACCAGAAATTTGAATCTCAAGACATGAACTCAAAGAGCACGACCACAAGGCAACGGCAGAATTAGATAAAAAAAATTTCTTTTGGGGTGGGAGTGGGCAGCTCATTGAATGAAATCAACAGAGGTTCTGGCTATAAATATGGAAAATGTAAAGCAAGGGATCAAATATGGGGCACCAGAAATTTGAATCTCAAGACATGAACTCAAAGAGCACGACCACAAGGCAATGGCAGAATTAGATAAAAAAAATTTCTTTTGGGGTAGGAGTGGGCAGCTCATTGAATTAGGGGTGTCAAGGTTTGTGTTCTCGTGGAAAATCAGTGGAATTCTACGACTTTTTTGGGGACCTGGCCTGTTCTCGTGGAAAATCAGTGGAATTCTACGACTTTTTTGGGGACCTGGCCTGCCTAATCCAAGCTAATATAGGATCTACTTACTATAATATCACTCAGGAATTCTGTAATCTAATGAAGCAATTGAGTTGTATTTTCAACACCAAATCACACTATGTCTTAATAGATTTAGAAAAGTGAGAAATGAAAAAATAGTGATGTTGGTACTTTTACCTTGTTAGTTCTTCTTTTTCTCTTTCTTTGAAAGGTGAACCTATATTTAATAAGAGCAAGTATTGTAATTAATAAGATATGGTATTTGTCAAAAAAGCTTTGATTAAATGATTGCTACCTCTTGGGATGAAAATGCATGAGATTGTTGTTGATGTGACATTGACCGAACAGTGGGATGACTACTAAGTGAATCCTCAACCTATCATTCAATAAGAGGCTTAAGTTGTATATTAGCTCTAAGCAATTTAAAGTAATAACTAGTAAAAATAATTAAAATACCTGTTGCCTATGTAATGGGTTTGAGGGTGCAACAACTGGATCAACGGGCACGCCTGCAGCTTGCAATTGAGATTCCAAAAACTGAATTCGTGACTGAAAATTATATATTTTGCGTATTCCCACATGATGTATCCTATATTTTTAGAAATTTCATATCTGTGTAGTATCACATGTCCGTGATTTTAAGATCGTGTGTGGAGGAAGAGAAATTTTCCTAGATGAGGAGCTGAAATGGAGGAAAACATATATAGATCAAATTAGAAGAGGGAATAGGGCAGGAAACAAGAGAGAAAAATAGAGCAGATAACACAGAAGATTTTGAAAGGTTACATGAAAGAAAAAAATTGTTAACTCCATAATGGAATCATACTAATCAAATTTTAGGCACCAGAACAGTGGAGAGTTTTGACATGCTCAAAATTTTTGCCAGGTCATCAATCAAGCAAAGTCCCTTTGAATGTTCCTCAAAGGAATAAACCTGCAGCAAGTATGCAAAACAGCATCCTTGGGCGATTTCTTTCAAATCATATTTTCCAAATACCCGTTTTCAATTTATTTTTCCAACTCATATTGTTTTGTGAAGTGGTAAACACAACTTCAACTAATTTTTGTATAACTTTTTTTGAAGTCGTGTTTTTATAACATAACTTTCCAAAAACCGACATGAGTACAGGAAATAACTTCAAAACAACTTTTGTGCCAGAACAAGCCAGAAAATATTACCAGCTTTGGTAGTGGGAAGGGGAGACAAAATGAAAACCACTGAAATTAATGCATAAAAAACTTGAAATTATTGATTTAGCAAAATATTTCGTTTTAAAAAATATATATATTTTTTCTGCAAAAACATTTTTCATATGTTTGGTTGTGATTTTGAAACTAATGTGCCACTAGTTGTATTACAAGTAGTGGTGGTGGTGACGGTTGGGGTGGTAGGGTGGTGGTGGTGATGGTGGCAGCAATAGCATAGTGGTATTCGTGAGACTTTAATTTGAAAAACGTTTTTCATATTTCAGAAGTACAAATATTTCAAAAATAAAAGATATCTTCTCCCCAAATAATCATATTTTCCGTTGATCACAGAAAATAGTTTCCATTAGCTTTCGTTTTCGGCATACCAAACACCAAAAAATGAGAAATTTTTTCCAAAAAACGTTTTTTCACCAAAACAAAGAAGCCAGTCTAAACCATATATTGTTTAGTTCGAACATATATAGACTAGCTAGAGGAAATAGTACCTGCAATTCAGAGTTATGTACAGATGCGAGTGCGAGTCTTAATTTGTAGGTACCAATAATTTCACTTTGATCTACATTCTCAAGTGTGAATTTGATTTGCCACGTAGTTCCTTTGTATGTATTATCACCTATTTTCCTGCAATTCAATTGAACTGGTAAGTAATTGGACATGTAACTATAACTAGCTATTCTGTAGTAGTAAGAACATCAAGTCCAAATGATTAATACCCTCTTAAACATTAACAAATCCAATAATGTGATTTTATAAATCGTTGATCAATATTGATTTATAATGCAGTGAATACAAGTGAAGAAAATTTAAAGATCATTTTATATGATAATGCATTAATTAAAAAAAGAAAAATAGAATACTGTGAAAGTACATATAATCAGATTGGGTTACAAGACCTTGTGCCCCAGTGATATGCTTTCCAATCTCCATGGTGGAAGCTGTGGGTTCAAGCCCCATGTGGGGCAGTGGGGTTGATCCCCTTTCCCCTTCCCCTTAGATTAGACTAGTGTTGGTTGTAACGAGTGACCAAAAAAAAAAAAAAAAGAAGATTGGGTTATCCTTCCTCACCCAAAACCCGCACCAAACACGATTTGATTCTTTAATCCACCCAAAACCCACCTCATCATACTAAAAAACTCCAAACCCGTCCCATTAGGGTTGAGAAGGGTCGGGCGGTTAACCAGATCAATTTTTTCCATCCCTAATTACTATAACCACCTTTAACCCATGTAAGTACTAGGCAAAGAAAGGAAGCATTAGCAATAGGACACAGTTTACCATTTCATGTGATACGTGAATCAACATATATATAGCAGTGAAGCAGATTGTATCAAACAAAACACATTCTCATACATTGTCTAAAGAATGTATTAATTTTCAACCTTTTGGGAAGGAGTGTAATGACTGAAAAGAAATAGACATCATATATATGGAAGAAATGTACCTGGTTACTTGAGCAAAGAACCAATCTTATTCATCTGAAGAAAAAATTGCAGAAAAAATTTTTAGACATCAATTTTTTCTTCTTCTTCTTGTTAGCTCAAAATATAATTTTACAAAGAGAACACTACAACAAAATGCACATTTGGTGACTAAATTTGTTTTAGTTGCTAAATGTGCATTTTGTTGTAGTGGAATTTTAGAATTAAGGAAACAAAATATCATTGCTATCTGACATACCTCAATTAGATTAGCACATGTACAAATAAGTCCCAAATTTCATCAGCATGCATTTTTATACATCATCTAATGGGCCTGAAGGTTCTATCCCTCGGGTTCTAGGTCGATTTGGAAATTGGTGCGTGTGTTTGATGATCTTCTATGTCTCTTGGAAGAGAAAAGTTAGGGATCATGAAAAAATTTCATGAAAATGATCATGAAAGATTTGTGATCTTTGGATTACCTTGATTAGTGTGTGGTGCTTTATTCTAAGTGTAATCTAAGGGTCACAAAGCTTTCATGATTATTTTCATGAAAGGTTTTTCATGATATCTAGCATTGCTGCTCTTTGAATGATGTTTGATTGTTTAAGAACTTGTGAAAGTGTTTTAGAGTTTTTGTAGAGTCTTGAGCCCCAAGGTCCACTTTTTCATTAATGAGATTCTCTAATGATGGGCTCAGTATATGTGGTGTTAAAGTTGGAAACCCCCTTCAATTAATTTTATTTTTGAAAATTAATTTTTTTTAAAAAAAAAAAATTTGTCTCTCATTTTATAGAGATAATTTGATTTTGAATTTGAGTTTAAATACTTTCTCATTTCTCATATATTGGAGGATTTTGAAAATACAATTATTTTTATAAAATGAGAGACAAATTATTAGGGGTTTGTAATTGAGAAATTATTTAAATTTTTGATAGTGTAATGACACTCTTCTAAAAATTCATACAATTGAGTTTATATATATATATATATATATATCTATATCTATCTACATATTAAGGGAAATGGGGTTTTCTTTGCATCTTAAAGCCGAGGTGAAGGCTTAGTTTCTGCAGCATTTCTCTGAGGTTTGGAAGGTCAGACCTAAATTATCCGGTCATTTCATGAACATTGGAGGAACACATGTTGTTGAACAATTGGAGGCAGAGTTTATTGAAGAGGAAATTAGTACTGTAATCAAGTCATGTGAAGGGAATAATGCACCTGGACCTGATGGATTCAACATGGCTTTTTTTCAAGAAATGTTGGAAATTTGTGAAATCTGATGTGCAACAATTTATGAGGGAATTTCATCAAAATGCAAATTTAGCGGGTGAGATTAATAGCTCATTCGTTGTTTTAATTCCCAAAAATAATAGCCTCTCTTGTTTGGATGAGTATAGGCCAATTAGTTTGATTGGGTCCATGTATAAAATTCTAGCAAAGGTGTTAGCAAATAGGATGAAACAGGTGATGCCCAAGATTATTAGTGAGGTTCAGTCAGCTTTTCTGGATGGTCGGAATATTCTGGATGGGATTATAATAGCAAATAAAATTGTTAACGAATGGAAAAGATCAAATAAGAAAGGTTTGGTACTTAAATTGGATTTTGAAAAGGCCTATGACTCAATTAATTGGGAGTTTCTCTTTAACATGTTATCAAATTTTGGCTTTGGTTCTAAATGGGTGAGTTGGATGAAAGCTTGTGTATTTTCTGCTAAGATCTCTATTTTGGTTAATGGGTTACCAACATCTGAATTTTGCCCACAAAGGGGCCTTAGACAAGGTGATCTATTGTTACTGTTTTTATTTAATATTGTAGCAGAGGGCCTCAATATATTGCTGAGCAGGGCTAAGGAGTTAAACTTAATTTATGGGGCAGAGGTGGGGTCACACGGCCTAAGAGTAACTCACTTGTAGTTTACGGATGACACGATTTTGTTTTGTGAAGCTAAAATGGAGGAAGTAGGTAATATTAAAAGAATTTTACGATGTTTTAAGATGGCATCGGGGTTAAAAATAAATTATCATAAGAGTGTTATCTGTGGTGTTGGGGTTGATGATGGATTATTACATGAGTTTGCCTCTAATCTAAATTGCCTTTACCAGAAGCTGCCTATAATGTATTTGGGACTGCCATTGGGGGTCAACCCAAGTAGGAGAAGTACTTGGAAACCTGTTCTTGTTAAATTCAAGCAAAATTGGCTAATTGGAAGAGAAGACTTCTTTCTTTTGCTGGGAGATTAACCTTAATCAAGTCTGTTATGTCAAATCTGTCTATTTATTATTTATCATTGTTCAAGATTCCGGTAGGGGTGGCTAAGGAGATTGAGAAAATGCAATCAACTTTCTTGTGGAGTGGATCAGATCTATGAAGAAAAGTGCACTTGGTCTGTTGGGAAGGGATTGCCAAGAATAAGAATCTAGGTGGTTTGGGCTTGAGGAGGATTAGAACATTCAATGAATGCCTGTTGCTAAAATGGTCTAGAAAGAAGTGATATGCGTAAAATATAATGTTGAGAATGGGAAATGGTTTCCAACATTGGAAGGTAGAGGTTCTAAAATCTAGACTGATATACTTAATGTAGTGCTGTTAAATCCAGACTTGCATTATTTCTATATTCATAACTCTCAGATAGTTTTGGGGGATGGGCGTAAAGCACATTTTTGGTTGGACAAGTGAATTGGTAATGTATGTTTTAAAGAGGAATTCCCTAGACTATTCTATCTCTCTAATGATAAGCATGGGGTGGTAAGGGTGTTTTTGAGAATAGGGATGCAGCTGATGCATGGAATCTAGAGTTTAGAAGAAATTTGTTGGCCTAGAAGGAGGAGGAAATTCATAGGTTAGTTTGTTTACTTAGGTGTGCTCCAGCTATTTGTACTGATAAACCAGATGAATTGAAATGGGCAGCATATTTTTCTGGCTTGTTTAGTGTAGCATCAGTTTATAAATGTAGTGAATCTCTTCTTGGTCTTGTTATAACAATGGTAGGCTCTATATGGAATATTTTTGCTCCTCCTAAAGTGCAATTTTTTGGGTGGTTGGCATGGCTTGGTAAGGTTAAAACTTCCTGTTTTTTTTCATAGAATTGTTATACTTGATGGGAGTGTTAATCTTGAATGTGTTTGTTGTCATAATGATGTTGAAACTGTGGAGCATATCATTCTTTTCTGTCCTTTTGTTTGGAGGCTGTGGTCAAACATTGTAAGATGAGGGGTTTTTAGTGGGTCTTGCCAGGTTCTGTAGATGGGTTGCTGCAATGGTGGTATGGTTGCAAAATGAAAAAAGTGGAGAAGAAAATCTAGATGGTCATCTTATTGGCAACTCTTTGGTCTACATGAAGGCCTAGAAACGAGTGTGTTTTCAATGGATCTCAACCATATTTTGAATCTTTATGTGAAATTGTGAAAGTTAGAGTAGCTTTGTGGGTTAAGGCCTCGCCATTACATGTGGAAGCTTTTGTGAATGATCTAGTGTATAATCTGCATCAAGTCAAATTTTGCCTTAGGAATGGTGGTTGAGTGTATATTAGCATCAGGTTGCTGAGGTTAGTGTCTAATCTAGGTGGGCTTGTCTGGTTGTTAAGGTTAGTGTCTGATCTGGGTTGTGCTATCAATGTATGATCTGTTATTGAAGTCTGGTGGCAGAGCCTGTGTATGGTATGGTTCTGAGCTTAGTGTATGATTTGGGTTATGCTGTTAGTGTAAGATATGTTACTGAGGTATTATATGATTTTGTTGATCTGTTATCCGGTATCTGATATGTGCTATTTTGTTACTGAGGTATTGCTGGTTGAATAGATCTCTGTTTTCTTATCTATGCTATTTTGTTATCTGATCTTGCTTTTACTTGTTGAATGGATTTTTGTGCTGCTCTTCTACTGTTACTAGAGCCTGCTTTTGATGATCTTTTCTGTACTACTCTATTCCTCTAGATTTGGTTTGTCTTCAACAGGATTGATGGATTTCTCTTTGTTGTCTTTCTTGGTTGTTGCTCTCTTTTGAGGGTGCTTAGCATATGATAGGATGGGCTTTTTGGTGCCAACCTAGTTGGGATGATCTAACCCACTATGATGCTTGGTGCACCCTTCTTTCCTTATTGATGTTTTGATGTATTTGTGTGTACATCTTGTACCTTTCATTGTCATCAATAAAGCTTCAGTTTTTTGACGATCAAGAAAAAAGAGAAATGGGGTTTCATGTGAGAAAGCCACTAAAGCCTCCACATGCCTAATCTTAATCTTATTTTTTCAATTTAAAAAAATAATAAACTATTCATATGTTTCACATAATTTTCAAATTAAAAAAAAAAAAAAATCTTCAACCCCATCTCTTAAGATCATTGACTAAAAGATGATCAAGCCACTTAAAAAGCTAATTTCAAACACTCTTTTTGCTAAAAAAAAAAGTTAAAACTTATTTAATATTATTTATTTTTTTAATTTTTTTAAAATTAATTTAAAAATAAATTTAACAATCATTGTTTAATCTTGTACATAGTACGGGTGATATACTAGTGTATATATATCAATTTTAGATATCTTTTTGTGAATAAACTATTGTTGATCATGATATTTTTTGTGAAATAACGAGTTAAGAAAAAAATTGTACTTCTCGTGTATATATATATATATTTTCAAATTAATGAATTTTAAGATTATTATCTTATTTCAATTATTTTACTTTCCTTTTTCTTGAGCAGCAAGAGACAAATTATATTAGATCATAAAAAAAAAAGTACACAAAGCTTAAAAAGAAATTGCATCATTGTCAAAGTTAGGCATCCCAACTAGATTGGCACCCAAAGCAAGACTAATCATATGCATTTCCAAAGCTCCAGAGAGAGTTAAAGAGTTTCCAACTCAAAACCCCTCTAAACATCCAAAACAATGCAACATTACACCCTTTCTCCAATACAAAATCTAATTTGCACCATATTATACATAAAGTCAGTGATGGAGTAGTGGAAGTCCCTAGAAGTGGATCTCAGCCAAATTGCAAGCCTAATAATTATAGTTTTCTGTAACTCCTCCATCTGTGGTTAGATGTCTTTAGAGAGGCAATCGTTCATGTGCTTCCAGATG